CACTACGTGCATTGAGCAGGCTGAGCTGTCCACAAGAATGTGATCCAAGTGTTGGATGGTTCCAGTTAATTGAGAGCCCAGCAGTGTGTGCAGGGAGGACAGACTGCACCTCCCAATATGTGGGACCTTGTAGCCGTCTATGCTGAGTGTGAGATCTCCCAGTATATTGATTTTTCGCCTATCTTTGGCAGAGTTTACTTTTCCACAATGATGAATAATATCTCTTACGTCTCGTGGAATTTTTGTCACTGCTCTATTCTCTTCTTTGCCAGATCACTAGCAAGAAAGTTAAACTTTGGTGTAAGAACAAGTATAATGGGACACTTTGCTGTTTGTTTTTAACAGTAATGCAGGTCAATCCTTTTATAGTAGAGAGCTTCATCTGTGCACTACCTGGACCTCTTCCCCTTTTCATCATGTTTCTCTGTTTTCAGTGCTAGTTCATCCTCTCTGGAAGTAACAATGAATGCAAGTCCTAAGATGGACAAGGCTTTTGCAAGATCATCTGGTCTAAAAATGATCAGAGCAGGTTGAAATGAAACTGTTGTGAAAACAGCACTAAATGTTGCTGCCTTGTCCTAATTGGAGTGTCTTCCATTGCTGCTATCTGTAGTGCTGGGTCTCTGAGCTGGGAATGGGATGAGGGAGTGATATTCTTGTATCTCCAATAATTACTGAGTTTTTCTTTCATTCTTTGTGAGGATATTTATTGAAAGCCACTTGAAAGTCCCAGTAAATACCTCTTTTCTAATACCTCTTTTCTATTCTCTATTGTATTAGCAAGCTCACAGTATTTTGGTAGACTGGTGAAAAATGATTTTTTTCCCCCTCAAAATCCCTGTTGGCTTTTTATCAGTCATATCACATTTAGCTAGATGATTTTTAGTACTCTCTGTAATTATTGTCTCAACTAATGGAGTTGATACAGAATTAAAGCTTGCAGGACTATAGTTTCCCAGATTAGTCTAGATTTTTCTTAAAATCAGGGCAACATTTATTCCCTTTCAGTCCTCTGCAAGTTAACAGTTTTAATATGAGATTTCCTTTTATTATGGTTATTAGCATCTCAGCTACTTTTTGAATTAATCTCTAATTTTTATGTGATTGAAGTTTTCCACGTGTTTTCTGGAGACACCTTTCTTGAAATACTGTCTTGGAGAGTGTCTCTCCATTGCAAGCAGTGATGGGCAGGCTGTTCTCTCTGCATTACTAATCCTCATTTCACCTTTTGCCAGCTAAGAGTATGCCCTGCAGAGCTGGGATATCTTTACTGAGGGATTTCATATGAGGAGTTGCTTCCACCACTTACTTTACTGTGTTCAGTGGCCTTTCTGAGCACTTTTGCCACCAGGTCTGTCACCAGATATCAAATACTGAAGTTCTCACTGGTAGATTTTAGTTTGAGTATTTATTTTCTTTTAAATTAATTCCTTTATTGTTAAGACCAGATCAGCACCTGATGATTAAGACATCTACACTTGTGATATTCTGATGAGCGGTTCTGTGCCAGTAATCTGTGTGAGTAAAGGCTCCTCCTAAAGCAACCAAATTACTTGAGAAGACAGGTCTGATTGTACATCAAAGATAAATTAAAATACATCCCTTTGCAGCTCTGCTTGCTGAACATGTGCTTCATCCCAGAGATGCCTCTTCTCCACACCTAAGAGTTGTTACTTTCACAGTTTTAATAATCAGTGTTAATCCCAGTCTAACTGAGGTTTAGGTAAAGCAGAGGAGTCAGATAGCCATTTGCGCCAATGTAGAATTTGTCCTGCTGAAATTTGGAGAAGGGTTTTGAGACAGAAAGAGATGCCCATGTGGACTGAGGAAAGAGCTGTGTGCACAGACAGCATTTGTGATCTGAAGGGCTTTCTGATGGAAGCTTATTCTTGATATTCCTTGGTACATGAAATGCTTCCTTTCTTTATAGTGTGCTCCTAGGGGTCTGTGAATACATCTGTGTAAAACTAGGTGTTGTTTCCAGCTCTTTCCTCTGATAAAAGCAGTCTTCAAAGTTTTGCTTGAGCAACATAGAGCAGTATCTTGCAGAAAAGTTCTGAGCCATTCTGGGCATTTACATTCACCTTGCATTTTCTTCAAGGAGGAACAGAAATGTGGGCCACCACTATTGAACATCATAGTAGGAATGTGATGCTCTGTCTATGATTAGGGGAATGTAGTCTGTCAGAGAAACAAGAGCTGCATCTGGAGTGACCTGTCTTGGGGAGATCCAAGAAAATAATAGAGATCATTAGGAAAGTTTTCCTCTAAAAAACCTTATCTGGTTGATAAGAAAAGAGTCCTTGGAAGCTGCATTCACAGTCCTACTTCTGCCTCTTATGTACTTCTGCCTCTAATGCAGACTGGAGTTTTGTAAGATGTAGGGATAGAGATGTAATTTTTCTGAGATAAGTTGCTTGGTCATCTCATCTCTCCAGAAGTGCAGGAGCTGGATTTCCCTGGTCCAGCCAGCCAGCCAGCCAGGGCATCTGTCTCTTAGGTGTTTAAGCCAAGCCAGTTGTGAGAGCACTGTGGAGGGTGCTTTGCAGGGGGTTTTATTCTGTTTTGTTTCTGGGGCCCTCTGTAAGGATCCTCTTGTCCAGGACTGCTGCATCCATGAGGCCAACCAGCTTCTCAACAGCTTGGATAAATTTGTGAGGGCAAAAATTTCCTCTTACCTTGTGCTAGAGGAAAAAGGGGCTATTGCCACCTCCTTCTCAGCGCTAACCCATATGTGAAGATACTCCCTGTATGGAGGCATGTCTACAACCAGTTGCATTTTTAGTTTAGTTGCATGAGTTTTCCAGCCTGTTTTTCCCATCTCCCTTGGGAATCCATGTGGTGTGGGTAATGTGCTGGAGCCAGCACCTCTACCCTGAGCTGGCTGCTTGGCCTGGCACCCAGCACTGTGCTACGGCCCCGGGTTGCTGCTGCTCTGCCCTGAGTCGTGCTGCAACCTGGAGTCATTTGATGAGCTCTTGCTGTGTGTGGGAGATTGCAGGTCCCTGTGCTGGCCTGAGCTCAATGCTAGGAGCTCAGTGCTGGGTTTCTTGGAACATATCTGTAAGTGCATTGTCCCTGTTTCCTGTCAGTGCTTTTGGCTATGGCTGTGCAATACTTTGAGGTGTGTGGCTGGCCACCACTCTCCTTCACTGCTGGCAGGGGTTTTCCTCCACAGCTGGAGGCAGTGGGTAGAGGGTGACTATTAGAGCTGCAAAAACACTGTTTCGCTGTGATGGGCTGCACTCCCTGTGCTGTGACAAGCAACCCAGCTGTGCTGGCTCCCTCTCTCCCTTTCTCTTTCATCCCATTACTCCCACCCTGGTCTTCTTGCTCTCTTCTGTTACAGTTTCCTTTCCTTGTTCCCGTTTTCCCTGCTTTTGTCCTTGCTGCACACAGGGAAGGAGAGCAGGGAAAGAGCTAGGGCAGAGGCTTGTTACAGCAGGAGCTTCAAAGCTGTTGTGTAAAATGCAGGAGAATGATGTGTGAGACTTGAGGCATACTCATGGGTTTTATTTGCAGCCTACATGTGTGAGTGTTTTTGAGCTGGCAATGCTGGGCGAAGCTCACTCACCTAGCATGAGTTACACTTGCCTGTATTTGCTCATGTAGGAAAATGTGCGTGTACGTGTGTGTTAGCATGTGTGCATCAAACTCTGAAGTCTCACACTGAGGGTGAGACTTGCACATTAGTCTTTCTCCTCACACTCCCCTAGGCCTGTGTTTCATGCACTTGCATCCAGCACTCAGTCTGTCCCCGACACGTTGCCAAATGCGAGACACTCAGCCTGTCCCATGATGTGACATGGCACTGCTTTGCACAGAGAGCAAATATAGCTACTGAATGGCTGGGTATATATGGTATTCATGAATGTTTGTGGTATTGTTCCTTTTTGTCACATACTTCAAAGCGTTTGGTGGAGTCCATCACAACAGGATCTTGTGCAGTTGAGGGCTGCAGACACAGGGTTTGACCTTCAATGACTTCTGACACAGAAGCCAGAGGAATGAGGAGACTTCATGCAGATCGGTGTCAGGCATTAACAGGACATGGGTGTACAGTTATTTTTTGTTATTGATCTGCTTAGGTTTTATTAATGTATCAGGGTAAACTTATATGAAGTTCATTAAATATTATTCAATATAGCTGTGTCCTTGGCAGGAGGCTTTTCTAGTGACAGTAATAAAGGGAGAATAAATCATTGTCACTGAAGGATGTGGTGGCTGGTATGTTCTTGAGGAGCAAAATGAACCATAAGAGCTGAAATACAGACCAGCAAGTGGTTGGCAATGGGTTTTGTCATTTGGAAGTTGCATTTTGGCCACTGTGAGTGCAGCTGGCAAGTCTTACAACACTTAGTTGCTCAAACGACTGTCACTGCAGAGTTTGCTGGCAATGTAAGCATTAAGACCCAAGACCTGACTAGACTGGAGGGATGTAATTTCCCCTTGTGTGTTTCAAAGTGAGGTGAGAAAGACGAAGGACTTGCACACATACTGTCCTCCTCACTGCCAAGCAGAGATCTGTAATTTTGATTTTTAACAGACTCTTCTTCTGAACTCCTGGGAGTTTCTGGGATGGTATCTGTGGTTTTCTTCTTATTTTAATTCACTGCACTCACAGTAAGAGTCTAACATAAGAGTTGTGGTGATGATTTTTTTCTTTTGGCAAGGAGCTTCCAAACTGTGCATCATAGTGCAGAATTGCAGTGCCAAACCAATGCTGCCCTATGGCCAGACAAAATGTGCTGTTACTGGTCGTGTTGCCTATGCAAACAAGTGTTGAAGCCCTTTATATTTGGGAGTATCTTGTCCTGGTCTGGTTCAGATCCTTTAAATCCAGCCAGAGTCCTAATAGTGGACTGACACATTAGATGATGATGCCTACAATCAAGAATGGAAATCCTTGGTCTGCTTAAATATTGGACAAAAAAGATACATATGTGGACATATGCATGTAACAGCAAAAGGACTTGACAGATGTTCTGGTCTCTTTGCAGGTGCACCTGCGCTCTGCTGAGCGCCTCCGGGAGTTGTGCTGCTCCAACCGAGGCACCTTCATCAAGGTGGGGCAGCACCTGGGAGCGCTGGACTACCTCCTGCCTGAGGAGTACACCCGCACCCTCAAAGTGCTGCATAGCCAGGCCCCGCAGAGCACCAGGCAGGAGATTGAGCAAGTTATCCGTGAGGATCTGGGAAAAGAGGTAGGGGCAGCCATAACATGTGTTGGCTTCTCAGGCCTCAGCAAGCCCTGGACAGCCAGAGGAAGGAAGACAGCAGCTAGAGGAAGGAAAACTGCTGTTTCTCAGTTATATGAGATACCGAGGGGAGGTACCTTATCCTTGCTTCTGAGTGAACGCCATGCGAGTTTTCTCTGTCCATCAATGGGCATTATTGGCAGGCTTTGGTGAGGAGAAGATAACAGAGGAGGAAGGGTTTGAAAGGTGCCAAATAGAAATGGCAGAACTCAGCAGAGCAGCGTACTCTGTATGCCAAGATGAACAGGGTTGCTGGAGGTCAGGATGGAGGGCTGTCTGCCACACTGAGGAGTGGGAGCTGGAGGTATTGATGTTTAGGACAAAGATATATTGGCAGAGCTCTGTGAGGGATGACTGCTCTCCCCTGGCTGCAGTAGACCAATTCCAGCTAGCACTGACAGCCCTTTACTTTCTCGAGCCCCTAATTAACCCCCAAAGAAAATAATAGCATAAATCACTTTTGGTGCTGCAGTCAGGTAACGCAGTAGCTCAGGAGTCAGTGCCATCATTAACCCTCAGCAGCCCACAGCACTGAGATCAGTAGGTAGGTGACTGTGTTCATTTAGATATAAGGGAAGTAACCACAGTAAATTACTGAGGGTGTTCTGCTACTTTGCATCTTGCTCTTTACAAGATATCCCCTCACACTCTAGCCCAGGTTGAGGAGAGGCATTTCAAGGATCATGGCTGACATGGTAAAGAGGGAGGCAGGAGGCAACAGTATGCAAAGGTGATGCTAGGGAAAGTGTGAGGGGGAGGAAGACAGAAGGTTGAATAAGGGAAGCAGTGTGTACATCTGTTGTTTCTCATATATAAAGGTTTTTGGGGTTATTTTGGTTGTTCTGGCCTGTTTGACTGTGTAGTAAGGAGGTGTGGGGGAAACATGAGGTAAGTGAAGTATTTGCACCTAGAGGTTGTATTATGGGCATATTTGAATGGGGCGAGTCTGCCTATGCCTATGCGTAGTTTAAGGGTATACATATTGTCTAGCCAAGAATGACCATTATTATTTCCCTACAGTTTAATGGCAGGGCTAATGTCAGCCCCCAGTCTGCAACATGCTCCCTCTGTTAGGATTCCATCCTTGTAGCATGGCTGGTACCAACTGTTTCATAGCTCAGTGGATAGATGGAGCAGAGCAGGCTGACCGCTCCCTGCAGGCCTCTGTCTCCATGGGCTTCCATGTGGCAATCTCCCACAGGAGCTGTGGAAAGCCACCCCAAAGTTAACCCATGTTAAACTACCACACTACCCACCTCTGGCACAGTTTATCTGATGTCTCTTAAAGGCTGAAGTAGGTGCTTGGAGGTGGGACCTTTTCTCTCAAGTGTGTGTGCAGCTGCCACTGATAATCCCTGGTTTCTTTGTGTTTCTTGGGAGCTAGATGAACGCTGTGTGCCTCATTGATTCCCAGTGAAGCAGCTCGAATACAGTCTCCACAGCAACCTTACCTCATAGCATTCACTTCCTTCACTTGGCCAGTGCTGGGCAATATTTAATTTTAAAGTTACAGAGGGAGGGAGTGTAAAAAAGGTAGAAATGGGAAGAAAGTGATGGAGAGGAAATGGTAACAAGAGAAAGAGAGCAATGATAAGAGATAAATGAAGAGAATTACATATATAAAAATAAAGGACCTTGTAAAACTGGGTAGTATTAAAAGCTGATGTAAAAGCCTGTATTAATATTTACAAGGTACCAAATCAAGATATTTAAAACCAGAAAGGATTTGGGAACCTAATGCACCAAAGCTGTCATTGCTGGAGCCTAGAGGGTTTAAAAGGGTTGCTTCAGGAACAAATTCGATTTCAGTGTAGCCAGATCCTCAGTATATTTTAAATATGATATACTTCAGCTGAAATATAGGTGGCAGAATGGAAGGTGGAGTATCAGGGCAGAGAAGAGTGCAGAGAGGGATCCTGAAATTTTCATTCCTGGGGCCAGCATCACACCTGGGAACTTGCAGATGAATTCAAATAGAAGAAAAAAATTACAATGGGGGAATCTTCTCATGGTGCCTAGGCCTGGTCCTGCTGCTCTTGAATTTGGTGGTAGGACTTCCAGAACTCCTGTTAGGACCAAGAGCAGGGCTCTTTATATGAATCTTAAGTGTAGGCAAGAAGTAATTACTTACAGCCTGGATCAGTGCAGAACAAATGGAGAAAGAGAAACTGGAAATACAGTGATACCCAGGGAGGAATGTGACAAGCTAACAAATTAGGCAAGAGCTTGCAAAAGGGCAGGAAGATCAAAAAAGCCAATTTCATGTACAGAAGCATTATATTTTCAGTCAATTAGAAATAGTCAGCCTTCTGATGTGACCTACTCCTGCAAATCTTATCATGGGCTTGGATCTTTGATAAATGTTTTGTGGGAAAACTGGCTTAAATGGAGACCATGCTAATGGGATGGATGTTTGAGCAAAGACAGAGAATTTGTGAGGTGGATTTCTGGCAGTTCAACATGACTCTGTTGCCCCCACACAAACTTACTTGATACCCTGCTGATGGGGGTCTCCCGTTTTAGGCTAGCATCATGGCTGGGGACTGGGAGCTGCAGCATGTATCTCTGATGTAAAGGCAAATGGCATAGGTTTGACACAGAAGGAGAAGCATCATATATGCTGACTGGTGAGGTTTCCTGTCTAATCCTATTTTAAGTCCAGGGCTAGTTTGTGTACCTATCAGGGATTGTTGGGATAAAAATAATCAGTAGTGTGCAAATGCTGGCTTTCTAATCTCAGCCACAGTGGTTTGGATGAGTGATAGTGGGAGGTGATCATTCTCTTGAGTGTTATATGCAAGAGGATGAGGTGGATGGTGGGATTTGCAGGGTAACACAAGGTAGTAGCAGTGGGAGAGGCTGCACAAAGAAATCTTTGCAATAACTCCTGGAAACTATCACCACTGGGATCACAGAGCAAGAATCTTTTTGTGAGACAGTGGAGATACTGCAGGTTGGGCTTGTTCTGGGTGTATTCCTTGGAGCAGTTGGGAAAAGCTCTGTTCATAAAAATGGGTGTTAAGGTATGAATGAAAGAGTCTCTCCTGCCTCTATTTTTATCTTCCTTGCTTGAACAAGGTTCTGAAAGTGAAAAGGTGTCAAGTGTGGAAAATGAAAGCAAGCCAAATATGTTCTTTCTCTGCAGAACTATTAATGACACAGGGAGAGACAGCTGGTTCAGCTAAGTGCTCTAACTCAACGAAGTGCATGCAGAGCAGAGCCAGGCAACTTCTGGCGAAATGTGGACACCACACATTTTAGGAAGAAAGACTGATGAGAAGCTCTGGAAAATAAAACTTTCAGAGTGGGTGCACCTTAAAAGCACAAAATTTTTGTGCTTAGAAACTAGAAAAGGTGGAAGAAATTTTGACAGCACTGGAATTAGGGACATTTCCTTCCCCTCGTAGGTTTGTTGGAAAGGGTTGTCATGTGGCTGTGGGGTAGAGGGATACTAGGGAGATGATGCCACTCTGTTCTGATTAAGGACCTTTCACATCATCCCTTGTCATAGGGTGTAGTGGTTGCAGAAGGACTTGTCAGCTTATACAACCCTGGTCTTCCAAATATCCTTTTTGCCTTTCTGTTGCCTGGCTCCACTACTGTCCAGTGCATTCCCTAATATGGTCTCACTTCTCTGCTACTGCACAGTGCTGTCACAGTTGTGTGTCACTGTGGCATCTCCTTGCTTCACTGTGTACTCTTCTCTATGCCAACACACACTCTTTCTTGTCCCAAAATACCTCCTCGTGTTGCACATCCAAGTAGGCCATAGCCTACCCACTCAGCACCACTGTATTACTTCTCCTGTGTACAGCAAAATGTCACTTTTCACATCCTATTGCTCATCAGCTTCCAGCCCATCCTTACACATTGGCATTTTTTAATCAACTTATTGACCTTTTCCCTAGGGCTTCTTATTCTCCTTCTTGATATCTTTGTGTCTGTGCCATACTCATGTATGTTTGTGCCATACTCTACTCAGGCCTTAACTCATGTTGGAGGTAATTTTCCTTGGTGGGAGACACTCCCTTCCTCCCCATCCCTATCCCAGTTCCTACTTCTTTCTGGCACATTCCTGTTGGGCAGCTTCTCTAGTCATTGCTCCTGTCTCTGGTGTGAGATTGTTTGGTTGGGGATTAGGGCAAGGATAAAGTTAGCACACCTCCAGCTGAGGGCAGTGTGGTCCCAGGCAGGGTCGTTCCCATGTTGATGAGGTGCTTTTGTCGTGTGGCTGCCCAGGTGCTCTGTGTCCAGGCTGTCATTGCTTGGGGAGTGACAGGCTGCTGTAAGGCATGTGACTAGCCATCAGAGTGAGTGTCTCTCCTTGTCTCTTGACTTACCTTCACATCTAACAGTTGCTGAAACTGTTGCAGAGGAGTAGAAATGGTTGAAGCTGAGCAGCCTCAGATGTTGTCACATGAGGGATCCCAAGAAATCCTAACTGCAGGTATCCATACCTGCATATAAATATATGCCATTGCTGGTGAGTTTGCTGTGCTTCAGGGAAGGCTGAGGCAAAACAGTTGCGTAGGGAGAACACACCAGTGATTTAAAGCTCCGCTTACAATGCTTGTTTTATTTAAGATGGGAGAAAAGGCTGAGGAGAGCTCAGAGGTCAAGACTTCTCTGCTGAAGCCAAATCATATAAAGGGCTTAAACAGATGGAAAGATAGTCATTTGGAGGGATGTCATTCTAGCTCTGCTTTGTGGAAATGCAGGTAATGGGAAGTAGTTTATAATTGCTTGATTACCCAGCACCTCCAAGGAGACCATCCTTTTCATCCACAGTTAATTGCAGCTTTTACAGGTTGTTGAAGCACTGTTTTGCCATTTGCAAGAAATCTCCCGCAGCCATACAGTAAAGGAGCTTGTTGATTGAGCAGGGCAGGATATGTCAATGCTTTGACTGTGATTTATAAACAAAGCACATGTGGTAGAAGAACCTC